GCTGGGCATGGTGGCACATGCCTATAGTCCCAGACACTCAGGAAGCTGAGGCAGCAGGATTGCTTGAGCCCAGGAGTTAGAGGTTGCTGTGAGCTAGGCTGACACCATGGCACTCTAGCCTGGGCAACAAAGCAAGACTCTGTCTCAAAAAACAAAAATAAATAAATAAATAAATAAATAAAATACAAGTCTGATCATGTGATGCCCTTATATAACACCTTTCAATGATTACCCATTGCTCTTGGGAAAACAAAACTAAACCCAAATGCCAACATTGCCTATAAGGCCCTGAATTTTTTGGCCCCTGCCAAACTCTCCTTGGTAATTTCAAGCAACTTTTCCCCCTCGTCACACCCTGGCTACTTGGTGAAGTTTCTGGGAAACCCACCAGACTCAGGTCCTGTACATAAGCTGTTCCTTTTGCCTGGAACATTCTCTTTGCTGATCAATCCTGATTCATTTTTTAAGTGTAGGCTGTACCCAGCAAAGTCCTCTAAGAAGGCCCCCTGGTCTAGGCTAGAGTCTCCTCTAATTCTCCATGGTACCATTACAACAATTGTAATTTAAATTTTTGGTTTTGCCATGATTTTTTAAAGGTCTGCTTCTCCTGCAGCTATAGGTTCCATCTCAGGGCAAAGCATGGCTGCATCTGCCTTGTTCCACTTTTGTGCCCACAGCATGTAGTGCAGTGACTCACTCTGTGTGTGCTAGATGAGTGACTGAATGGATGAGTGAATGAATGAGTCTCCAGATGGGGGAGCAGGAAAGGCATAGAGGAGGCGATAGTTAAGATTGGGGACCTTCAAGAGTCATGGGCCTGGAATCAGTGAGCTGCGATCTGTCTTAACTTGCAGTTCTGGTCATCTAGACTTCCTTTTCCTTCCTGAAAGTCATTGATCCAGCCCACCTCCAACTAAACCTCCCCTCTGCCAGGCTTTCTGCCTGGGGCCACAGCCATCCCCACTTCTCTTCCCTTTCCACTCTCTTTCCCTGCCAGCTCTCTCCCCAGCCCACTTTCCCACCACGCCCTTGATTGATGTAACTGCATAATTGTGTGATGTCGGAAAGCTAATTTGTACTTCTGCTGGGACACTGAAGTGTCTGGAGCTTTGCAGCTGGCCTTGAGACGCAGCGGGGAGCACCCCGCCCCATCTCAGCTCTCCTTCAGGCTCAAGGCACAAGTGTCTGACTTTATTTGCAAGGGCCCGGTAACAGAGGGCTATGACCTAACTCAAACCAAACAGCCACCCACAAAAAGAACTGGGAAGAAAAACCTTTCCACTGGTGCAAAGACAATCTCTCTGTGGCACCCTCCCCATCTCCCAATAGAGGGCATTGGTTCAGGTTCTCTTTCTACCTTCTACAGGGTCCTTTCAGCACCTGTTTTCTTGGGCACAGATTGGGAGATGGCATTTTTCTTCCTGCCAAATCGAGGCACACTCAGACAAAAAAAGCAAAGGGGGCCGGGCGCGGTGGCTCACGCCTGTAATCCTAGCTCTCTGGGAGGCCGAGCCGGGCGGATCGTTTGAGTTCAGGAGTTCGAAACTAACCTGAGCAAGAGCGAGACCCCGTCTCTACTATAAATAGAAAGAAATTAATTGGCCAACTAATATATACAGAAAAAAAAATTAGCTGGGCATGGTGGCGCATGCCTGTAGTCCCAGCTACTCGGGAGGCTGAGGCAGCAGGATCACTTGAGCCCAGGAGTTTGAGGTTGCTGTGAGCTAGGCTGATGCCACGGCACTCACTCTAGCCTGGGCAACAAAGTGAGACTCTGTCTCAAAAAAAAAAAAAAGCAAAGGGGAGGCGCCTCCCCAGGCTTTGTTGTGCATTCCCCAGGTTTGGAGATCTCAAGCTGCATAAACTAAAAGACCTAAAGAGAATAAAGACAAAAAATGTTCTGAAAGAGTATGTGTACGTGTGCTCATGGATGTGTGTTGGGTGGGGCTTGTGCGATCAAACAGGGATTTACTGTTTGATACAATGTGAAACAATAAACAAAATAAATAATCATAATTCCCATTTATTGGGCCTGTACTATATGCCAAACACTTTGTGAAGTACTTTAATATTTATTTTTCTTTCTTTATTTATTTTTCCTTCTTTTCCACATTCTTCACATTTGTATGCTTTATACACAGTATTTTATTTAATTTTCAAAACAACCCAGTGAGGGAAGCATTTATGCGCCCATTTTACAGATGAAGAAACAGGCTCATTGCATCACACAGCTCATTAGGGGGCCAAGCTCCAGGACTGAGACCCTGCTGCTCTTGCTCTGAACTACTGCTGCCAACGGGCTTCCCAAGGGCTAGAGATGAGAAAGGAAAGGAAATTGGTTTATGGCGTGGCAGAGGGTTTGAGATTAGACATAAAGAACTTTCTGACAATGAGGGCTGTTTGGTTGTAGTCAGGGTAATTAGGCTTGTTAGAGCTCTTCCTCCCAGGGCCTTTACATTTAAGATGAATGGATGCTTCTATGCCTGGATGGTTTAAGGGAAGTGCTCTCTGTTCGCAGCACGGGGCTGGCCTGTTTGAACTAACTGACAGCCTCACTGGGCATACAAGATTGTCACACACAAAACCGTTAGATAACAGTAGAAGATAGCACAGGCCGTGTGTCCAAATGGGACTGGAAGAAAGCAAAGGCTGTCGACAGGCAGATGTGTCTGTGGTTAAAAGCAAGGGCTTTGTGGTCAGGCAGGCCAACTTGTGTTTGAGTCTCTACTGGCTCTACTACTTTTGTGACCTTGTGTATGTTACCTAACGTCTCTAACCTTTGGTTTCCTAGTCAGTGAAAAGAGGCTAAGAATAGAACCTACTTTGGAGGGTTGCCATGAGAATTAAATAAGATGATCCATGTAAAATACTTGGCACAAAACCTGGACATAATAAAAATACAATGAGGGGTAGCTGCTAGAATAATAATTGTTATTGTTGGAGTCCAGAGGCAAGACAGAGCAGTGCAGAATAGAGCTATGAGAAAGTCCTCCTGGGAAAACTGAGTTTTGTCCTGGAGCTCGAAGACTTGGTCAGGTTAAATCAGTAGGAAGAAAGATGGACAGAGGTGTCAAATTCCCCATCATTTAAAAAGAAAAATCTGATTGATCTGTGGTTATACTAGAGAAGGAAGTTGATTATGGGGACCAGGTGGGGGAAATAGATGACGTCTTCCATCCTTGTTTCGAAACCCAAAATTTGAATAGAGACAAAGATAGCCTCCAGAACCTAAAAAAGAAATCAGACACCCAGAGCTTCTTTGCCTACTTCTGGACTCTTGTTGAAGAGGAAAGAGGAGGGGTCTGGGGACATGGCTGAAGGCAGAGCTGGTGATGGATGGGGACAGAACCTGAAACGGGAAGTTAGGAAATGTGGGTGAGGTCCTTAATGACTGTGTGGGCTGACTCATGTGGAAAGACCCAGCTTTAAGGCTGCATTGAGATCTAGTATCTGATCAGGCAGAAGGCCAGTTTTGGGACCCTGGGCATTTCTAATCTTCAGTGCTGTCAGCTAAAGGTGGGAGTCCCTAGGGGAGCAATCTTTGTGCTAATCCAATTACTCTCTAACAAGCCTGCTTTATCTTCCTAATGTGAAGATAAACTCCTTAGTGGCCAGGTAGGTCCCTAGGAAGGTGCTGTTTGTTTTAGATCCTCTATGCTTAAGCCTCTGACAAGTACCTACTATTAACCCCTTACGTCAAGCATGGAGTGGCCCCTTGTTAAAAATGCTAATTCTCAGTTCTTTTCCCTGGAGAGTCTAATTCTACAGATTTAGGGACCCAGGAATCTGTGTTTTAAAACAAGCATCCAGATTCTTTAGGCAAGGCAAATTTAGAAAACCCTGAGTTAGATAATCTCTTAAATCTCTTTTGGGCCTAAATTTAGACAGCGGAGTATAGTAGGATAGGGCCCTGGGTAGGTAGTAAGAGGCGGAATCTAGCTGGACCCTGCAGTTGGCTGCAGGGCCCTGTACTGGGAAAACCCTAGCAGGGAAGGAGACTGCAGAGCAGAAGAGAGTTTTCACAGGTGATATCTGTAATCAAGATCTCAACCGAAGCGAAAAAGGACATCAGGGAGCAAAAGGTTCTGAGCATCCTCCTGGGGCTTTCTCTTGCCTGGGACTGGCCGGACAGTGTAGGGCTCAGCAACTCCCACTGTACACAGACGGACACTGACGCCCCAAAGAATTTTTAAAACGCGCCTAAATTGCACAGCTAACCAAAGGAGACAGGAATCCAGACTTCCTGGTCTTCCTCCAGTTCGTTGTTGGGGTGCATGACAAGGCAGGCATATTTTCTTGTGGCCAGTGGGGCGGGGGGTGGGGAGTAGCCCCCGACGGAGAAGCGCCAGCGTTCCAAGTCTCCGGAACCCAGCCTTTCCCGGATTTGCTCGCTGGAGAAAGAATGGTGCCGGGGAGGTGAGCAGGACCACGGAAAGGCCTGAATGCGGGCAGCGGGGGAGACAGGACCGAAAGGAAAGCCGCGCAGGGGCTCACACAAGCTGAGGGCTGTGAGGGCCGCGTCCAGATCGGTGGCCTGACTTATCAGGATCTCACACCTGACGGTGTCCACCGCGGGCAAAACCCCAGCTCTACTCCCCCGGACGTAGCAGGAAGCAGGCGGAGTGCAAGGTGAGATCTGATCTTGCACACGCTTTTGAGCAATTCGCTGTGTCAGAGAAACTGGAAGACCAAACAAAACCCCTAAAACTCCAAGCCCGATTATTTCATCCACGTGGCACAAGAACGAGCCAAAAGAGGGGGGCGGGGAAGAGTCACCCGTCCCGCCCCTGCTGGGAGGAAGGGATTTGCCTGGAGAGCAAACTTCTGGCGCGGCCCGGGTGGCTGCGGGAGGAGGGGAGACGGGAACGCCGTTGCCTGCGCCTCCAACCGCGCCTGCCGGGCGCGGAGCGCAGGACCCGCGCGGCTTTAAGGCTGGAGGTGCGCGGTCTCTTTAAGGCAGGTCGGTGGTTCTGTTTCTGAGAAGTGAACGGGGCGGTTGAATGAAAAGTGCAAAACAGAGTGGCGGAGCGCCGGAGTCGGGGGCCGCGGGGGCCGCGGCGCTGGGCCGGTGGGCCGGCCGGGGCGGCGCGTCTGGGACTCGGAGCGCCGGGCGACGCGTCCGACGCAGCCACGTGCTCGCGCCACGTCGCGGCCAGCCCCGCGCGACCCGGCGGAGCGGCGCCGGGGCCCGAACAGCCCAACTCGGGCGAAGTTTGCCGCGCGTCTCCCCGCCCCAGCGCGGCGCGCGGGCCGCGGAGGGCGGCGGCGCCCCGGGATGCCCCGCGCCGCGGGTCACGGGCGCGCCCCGCGCAGCTGTTGCTGCTGCTGCTCGTGCCGCTGCTGGGGGCGCCGCGCGGCGTGGGCGCGGGGACCGGCGCGCCGGCCGAGCTGCGGGTCCGCGTGCGGCTGCCCGACGGCCAGGTGACCGAGGAGAGCCTGCAGGCGGACAGCGACAACGACAGCATCAGCCTCGAGCTGCGCAAGCCCGACGGCACCCTGGTCTCCTTCACCGCCGACTTCAAGAAGGTGAGGCACCTCGCTCGTCGGGGTGGGACCTTCGAGCCTGGAGTGGGACGCGACTTACCCAGGGTCACGCTGTGATCGTCTCTACGTCTCTTTGTCCCACTCCCCAGCGCCCAGACCCGGCCCCCTTCCTTCTCCCTAATCCCTGCTTCAGCCTCTCATCTCTGCTGTAGATACCCTAGCGCCTTCGCACGCCCTGACCACCTCCTCCCCCACTTCCTCCTCCTGCGCTCCCACAGCCCCCAGGCACTGCCCTCCAGAAGAATTACAGTTAACCCAGCGCCCTCCTTGCAGTCATTTCCCTGTGCTCTAGCGGGACACGTCCCGGGCTGCATATCAGAGGTCCCGGGTTCCCACTGTGTTGCTGTGTGAAGCACAGCAAGTCCCTTTCCTTCTGTGGGGCCCGTTTTCTCTCCTCTGTCCAGGGCCGCGAGGTGGCTGCGAGGCCTCCCAGTCCTGGCATCTTGGAGCCCCTGAATCACTCTCCCTCTGCCTCACTTTCCCGGGCAGAGCTGACTGTCCCTGGTTCTTCCCAAGCCCCAGAGAAGCTCTCTCTCCTCTGGTCTGGAAGGGTGGGATGCTTGTGGGGGCGGGAGGACCCTGGGGAGAGACCCCAGGTGAGGCCCCTCCCTCTAGGAGAGGCGCCACCCTTTACACTGGCTGGCAGGGGAGCTAGCCAACACCCCCCACCCTTTTGGGCCCAGACTGGGGGCAGGGGGCAGAGATCAGCCTCTCCTCAGTGTGTACGTGTATATGTTGTGGATGGAACCAGGAGGTGGGCCTGGCCCCCAAGGGGGCGGGGGAGAGTGGAGGTGTGGGGTTTATCAGGAAATGAGCCTGGAAGGATGGTGAGTGACTAACAGTGACCAAGCAGCAGGAAACCCGGAGGAAAAGAGGGTGGGTGAGTTTTAGGTATTCAAAGGGAGTCTCCTATGTCTTGCTCCCAGCCGCTCTCCTGCTAGAGAGAGGCCCTGTGAGACTGTCTCTGGTGGAGTGCAGAGGTGAGGCAGGTTAGTTAGCTGGGGGAGCCCAGGGCCTGTGGGACTGGGGACAGTGGCCTGAGCCACCTCTTTGTCCTCCGTGTTAAAGAGTGGGAGCTTGAGAGGAGAGGTCGCAGAGTCTCAGGGGTCAGCTAGGGACCTAGCGAGATTGCCGTAGATGGCAGGGGTTGGGGGAGATCCGATGGACAGTGGGGGTGAGGCTTGACTGCTGATCTGTCCTAGGGCCACCAAGTGGTCACTGACATAGGACTTGGGTGGGCCAGTGGGGATGAGGGGGTGAACCTGCACAGATGGGAAGGCTTTGCCGCCCACCCATACTCAGCAGGCCTACTCGAGGTTCCCAGATCCAAGTGGGAGCAGATAAGTTTGTGTGCGGAGAGAGGGAAGCCGACAGGGCCAGAACACCCCTGCCTCCCCACCTAAACTTCAGAGGAACTTTACCAAGTGTGTTCTGTTCCTGAAAAATCTAAATTTTTCGGGATCTTTTGGGAGTCAGGGATCTAATCATCTATGCCAGTGCTTTGTCCTTGAAGTTAGCCCCAGGCCAGGCTGTGAGTCTCCCACCCTCCTGCCCACTGGCCTTGCTCCTGTGGCTGCACTGGAGCCCTGACAGACTTCCCCATTCCTGGGACGTCCCCAGCAGCCAAGGCTGTGGCCAGGACAGTGAAAGAGGCAACGGGGCAGGGCTGAGTTTTATAGACTCTATAGCCTTCCAGCTACAGCTGGAAGTTTTTTATTGCTCTGACCTGAAGGCTCCCTCTCAGAGGGAGTGCCCAGGTGGCTGCTGGCGGTAGGGGTGGGAGCTGGGGACGGGGCTGAGGGTGTGGGGGTGTCTGACTGCCCAGTTAGAGAATGCTCGTGGAGCTGATTGCAAGGCCCTCCTTTGGATCCCCACAGTGGTTCAAGCCTCCACCCAGGTTTCTGAAGTCTGCTTTTCAGGTTAGCTTCTGACCTAGAAGCTGGCATTTCACACCCACCCCTGGCATCTCCAATTTCATTAGTAAGGGAGGGAGTTGAGAGTGGAAGGCTATGAAAAGGAACCAGCTCTCTGAAGTCCCCTCAACTCCAGTTTTCTCAGTTGGCCTGGGATGGGGCGGGGTTGGGGAATACAGGGGTGGGGAGGAATGGCCTTTTCCCACACCCAGCACACTGTCTGCATTGGCCAAAGCAGCTTTTGTGCTCGAATCCTTCTGGGGTGGGTCACCTCTCTCGTTGCCCACTTAGTTCTCAATGCCTCATGCCTCATAGTCTGTGGCAGACTTCCACAAGAAAGTTCTTTCCAGGAGTAATGACTTTTCTTGTAAGAAAAAGGCTTGGAAGTTGTGTTTTTTGTATTTTCTGTACCAAACCCATTTGGGTTGGTTAGAGAAAAGTCCCTAATCCACTTGGGAAGAGTGATGTTTGCCATTTGACCACCCTCAGGAGAGACAGACCAGACTGAATGAGACAGACCTGGCTTACCACTTATTAGCTGGTTAACCCTGGGCAAGCAAAATTTGGTTTCTCCAAGCCTCCATTTCTTCATCTGTAAAATGGGGATAATAATAGTACATGTCCCAAGGTTACTGGGAGAACCAAACAGGGCAATGCCTAGGAAATATGCAGGGCAATGCATAGGAGAACACAGGAGCTCACTCTGTGTTCTGATACTGTGTTAAGTGCACAAGAAATAGAAGCGATTGGCTTTGATAATTGTGGCTCACATTAGCATTGCAGCAAGGATCCTCACTGCTAAATCTGGATTCAAATAAGTTGAATGATGGACCCAAGGTCACACAGAACAGTCAGCACTGAGCCTGGAGGGGCCTTGAATTCCTCTTTGTAACCTTCTCCTTGAAGCTCCAAAATTGCTGGCCAGCCCCTCGGAGGAGGAGCAGGAGCAGGAGCAGGAGCAGGAGCAGGAGCAGGAGCAGGAGCAGCCATCCTTGTCCCGACAGCCTACCCATGCAGCAGCAAATCCCCCTGTGCTGGTTGGACTGAAGCCCTCTGTCTCGCCGATCCCCCCACCCCAGTGCCCTCTCCCCCTCTCCCTGTTTGCCGCTACCCCAGGCAGGGTTCCAGCACAGTCTGACCCCTTCCACGCTGCCACCTTGGAACGAAGCAGCCACAGTCATCAGCCCATGGTAGGACACACAGCCTGGTGCCCAGGCAAGGCTAACAGACTCCATGAGTAGCTTGAAGCTATCAAATGCGTATTGTGCATTACTGCCAGCCCTGCCCTAAGGCTGATGCCCCTCAGCCTGAGCCGCTGCTGTAGCTCAGTGGCTCCCAAGCTTTGCTGCACATCAGAATTACTTGGGGAGCTTTGAAACAGCCCCATGCCTGGGCCACACAGCATACCAATGAAATCCCAATGTCTGAGGGTGGGAGTCGGGCAGCAGCATTTTTTAAAGCACCCCAGGTGATTGCAATGTGCAGCAAAGTTCAGGACAGCTACAGCTGCTCCAGGTAAGGGGCGGGGCCTGGAGGAGGAGCCAGGTTGGTTTGTTCAAGGAAGACAGGGCCCAAACTCAGTCACATATTTGAAAGCCATCACTCTACCCACCATAACCCCAGTGTGTTTTGAGCAGCATACATACTTCAGGCCTAATTCTACATGCTATCAGTATAAGAACCCTAATTCCTAATGTACATTCAATAGGCAGTACTCTACTTTGTACTCCAAATCCTATAGCATAATGAGACCTGTATGGACATAATCACTGGGCATATCTAGTAATAGTCATGTCACCATCCCCATCTCTAACCTGGCTATGTGACAGCCCTCTCAGTCCCCCTGGCCCAAGTTGGTGTCCCTGTCCAAGTTCTGTTTTGCCTCTGTCCCCCAGTCTGAGTGTCCAAAAGCTGGGGAGGGGATGAGTCATGTTCCAGGCAGCCTGGCTCAGTGCTGACCGGATGGGGAGGGTGGGGCTGGAAGATATGCAGAAGGTCATGTGTGACTGCATCGGGGCGGGGAGGGGGGTAGACACAGACTCCAAAAGTGTGGAGGGAGGAGACCACGAGGGCCCATGGCTAGAGCCTGGGAGGGGGGAGCCATGGTCATCTCAGGGTCACCCAAGGAACAAGGACCCAGGGAGGGTGGGAACACAAGCCCTGTCCTGGGCACCGATGAGTGAGTGGGCGCCAGAGGAGGGAACAGTCCAGAGTGCCAGAGTCCCTGGTCTGGGGGTGTGGGAGTAACACCGAGAGCCTTGAGCTAAGTCAGGGAAGATGGCACTGTGCAAATGCCACGTTGCTGCCTGAGGCTGCTATCCCAAGGGGATGTCACATCACACAGATGTGGGACGGAGAAGCTTTTAGAGCATAGTCTTCCCCTGCCCTGTCCATGTTAGGTCCCCTAAGATTTGGCATGGAGGCGTGTGATGCATGGCAGGTCTTCTTGGCGAACAGAGGGCAGTAGAGATGCTTTCAGGGGAGGTCAGGCCTCTCTGCAGCCCAGTGCATTTCCTCAGAGGCGGCAGAATGGCCACGCTCTTGTGCTTGGGGCCCTTGGGTCCGACCGACCAGTCTCAGGAATTCCTCCTTGGACCAGGGATGAGCAGCCCCACCTAAGGGTTCAAATGTGCTCCCCGGAGCTTGGCCAGCATCTCCCAGCCCTCAAAGCTGTGTCCGGGTGGCATCCTAGCAAAAAATCCCAGCCCCGGGGACAATAATTTCAGTGGCCTTCTGGAAAGTGGGTGGGGAGAGGTGGAGGCGGAGTTCTTCCCTGCCAGGCTTCCCAAGGGGCAGAGAGGTGGCAGTGGGGAAACTCAGGACAGACTCCTGTCATGCAGAGGGCCAGCCTCGAGGTGAAGACTGCACCAGTGGCTGGAGATCACCCATTGAGCAGTCATGCGAGCCACACATGTGGCGTCATTTGATCCTCACTGCTGTGCACACCGTGAGGCATAGCTTGCCCCTATTTTGCAGACATGCAAACTGAGCCCCACAGCTCTGGAGTGATTTTGACAGGATCCAGGATTAGGACCCAGGGATCCTTCCACTATGTCCTGACTGCCTGCC